ATATATATATTAAAAAAATTCTTAGAAAAAGGGAAGTTGCAGGAAATTCATGCTGTGGAAATTTCTGCATGAATGTATAACTAGAATCTTTAAAAAAATCTGTAGTGTTAACAGAAAGGAATTTCCATTTTTGTATTGAATTGAAACAAGAAGTGAATGTTGACATAACCAATGGTGGGGGCCTGAGTCTCCAGGCAATTGTACCTGAAAAAGTTCTTGTTTATTAAGTGTTGGCAAGATCTTTATTCCTTAGTTGTTGGCAAGATCTTTATTGTCAAATATATATTTAAATGGTAGAAAACCCACGGGAACATAACAAGAACAAACACGGAACTAAAATGTACTTTGCCTTGTTTAGAAGACTAAAACCACATAATGTTTGTAAAGACAGAACTTGCGGCAGGTAACAGCTGAAATAAACAAGCCCTCCATCCTTTATGTCCCTTAGCAAGACCTAGTTTTTCATACCAAGAAGAAATGTTTCAAATGCACCCCTCTTCTGGGGTCAGCCTTGTCTAGAATTCTCAAAATGAATTATAAAAGGAAGTTACATTAAATAGAAGCTTTCAGAAGTCTGCTAGAGCAAATGAGAAATGACACTGTGGTTTTAGGAGTTGTAAATTGCCCAGCTGCTAACAGTTTGTTTTCATTTCCTCTCACTTTGTCTGAACAAACTGTAATGCGATTGTTATTGATGGGAATTTAAATTAAACTTTTAACTCCTGAATGGTTAGTGTAGAGAAGACTTATTAGCACGTTGAAAAAATGGAGAATATAAGCTTTACAAGCCACACTGCATATAATATGTAGACCAGGCTGTTCAACATTGGAGCTCAAAACATCACTGTGGTATTTATTTTATTATGGGAATGGAATACCTGTATGTTATATTTTAATGAACCCATACATTGATTTTTCATTGTAATTTTAGTCATCATGAACATGGATAGCATAGAGTGTATCATTCCCTAGAAGAGCTACATTGTCTTTCCCCTGCCTTCCTATGACATCATCACAGTAGGGGTGTAATGTCAGCTCTTTGTGTACCTGTACTTGTACCTGTGTTCACACCACCTGTTGGACTTTTAAGTATGTTAATAGCACATTCAGATTCTATATATGTTTCAGCTGAAATATGGTGGACGAGCTAACCTCTGCTTCTGAAAACGTTAGCTACCTGCCAATCCTGCTGATGCTTTGGATTCAGTACTGTGGGTCACTGACTTAGAGAAAGTATGGGGATAAGGAGTTCTGACCTCGTGCTGACTTTCATTTGTTACATGCTGGTTTTGGGGCTTTAACTCATAAGTATTGAAACCAGACACAGCAAGCAAACTAGCATTTTCAGCAGGGGGGCAACAATAGCCACCCTTGAATTTCTGTCATGGCCAGGGTATTTTAAATAATTAAAATACATGCATTGTGGAAGCAGAGCAGTGAAGCATTATGGGGTCTAATCACTAAACTGCCAAAGGCAGCCGAGTGAATAACCGACCCGAAGGGAAGTTAGCCGAACGCTGTTCGGCTATTCACTTTAGGCATGTATGGCTGATTTCAGTAACCAGGGGACGCTGAACTGTCAGTACCATGGGAGTTCAGCAGAGTTGGCTTTCATATTACCTCCGGCACTGCTAAGCTCTCATTGTAATACATCGGCTTGCTTTGTGTGGCTTGCATCGCGTGCTGAGCATGTTCGGCCGACCCGAAGTGCAGAAGGAATTCGACTCAGCCGATCCAACATCTGGTTTGGCTAAGCCGAACCTCCGGCAGGCTACTCGCTGCTGTTCGGCCTATTTTCATAGATTCCGAAGAGCAGTGAGTGAATAGCGGCATTCGGCTCGGCTATTCTGCTCGGTACCTCCGTGGTACCGAGCAGAATAGAAAAGTAGTTTAAAAAAAGTAGAAAATAAAATGGAAAACGATTGGGTGGAGGTAGCAGTGACAGCTAGCTCCGCCCAACTGTTTTCTATTGGCCGGGCGGTTCTGCTGCTGTAAAAAAAAACACCATAGGAATGCATAGCTAGATTCCTATAGGCTATTTCACTTTGCAATAGCCAATAGCAAACCAGCTACTGCACCCGCTCTCTGTTGCTGCCAATCACTAAAATGGGACCTGATGGAGAACTTCAGGTCCCCTCTGCTGATTGACAGCAGCAGTGGGCGGGTGCAATAGCTAGTTTTCTATTTGCTATTGCAAATTGAAATAGCCAATAGGAATGTTACTATGCATTCCTATGCTGTTGTTTTTTTTTTTATTCTGACAGCACCCAACTGCTCCGATGTCAGAAGAAAAAAAAAAGATAACAGAGCAGGGAAAGGTTTACTCTGCTCGATCGAGCAGAGTAAAACTTTCCCGGAGAAAATGTTTCTCTCCCGGGCGGCCGGGAGCCGCTATCTAATAGCGGGAGACTCCCGGAGTGTCCAGGAGAGTTGGGCTGTCTGAAGATCAGCGTCCCTGGTTACCTGGTAACCACAGAAAGATCAGCATCCCTGGTTACCTGGTAACCAGGGACGCTGATCTGTCTGTGCAAGTGGCCGGAGCCAGACGTGAGATGATGGCTGGCTCTGTCCAGCTGTCAGTAGCAGGCTATCGGTGGCCTATGGCTGGCCGTTCAGCCAGCTTCAGCTTTCACCTCATCTCAATCGAGCCGAAGCATATGCCTTCGGCTCGACTGAGCCCCTCAGCCAACTTCGGGAGCTGTACGGGCTAAAGTGAATAGCCCGTACAGCAGCCCTTCGGTTCTACTGAACCGCAGGGGTCCTGGGGCCGAAGCTAGCCGAAGGATCACCCGAAGCTACGGCTAGTTCCTTCGGCAGCTTAGGGAATAGACCCCTATGTGTTTGAAGCTTAACTCCGGGCAGAGATAATAGACACAAAGTCATGCAGCACTGCAATCCTTATTAAACCATTATATGTATTTTTGTAAGTGCATACGTTTGTCTTTTTTTCAGCCTCCTGCATTGCTGTACAGCAGAGCTCAGGTTGAGGAAGAGATATACAGCCCAAGGAGTCAATCTTTTGTGCTGTATTGCAATGCAGATAGAAAAAAACATTCTCAGAGATTCTCAGCGCAAATGGCTCTGCAAATTATGTATTAATAGACTCCGTAGAGTTTTGTGTGAATAATGTCCTACAGGACTGAGGCCACTGGGTAGACATGTATTATCTATTTGATTCTTTTCTGTGTGCTCCAAATTTACTTTTCAAATTGAATATAGTCCCTGGCCATAGACACCAGAGTAAGTCCACTAACATCTTAAAAAAATGCTTGTTGTGAACTATGTTTATATTCTTCCTGTGAGTTCACTATAACATTTATGTAGTCAAATACTTTGTGGAGTTTGCAAAAGTGTTCCAAGAGTCACTATGATTGACAGCACAACTGTGCATTTTGGAATTTGATGTAATGCCAAAGCCGGGTTAGTACTGCTCCCAGTGAAGTGGAGAAAAGCCAGTTATAATCATTAAGCACAATTTACCAGAGCTGAAGAAATAAACTCTAAAGTCTTTTTGTGACAGTTTAATGTAGTTTAGTTCGGCACAAATCTCAGTGATTAACATATCCCAGGTGATGTAAGAGTCATTCACTCTTGGCGGATGCTATATTAGATTGTTTATTTTGCAGAGAGCACCGTAAACAACTGTGCAATACTTGACACCTACTAAAAGGACTGCATGACCATTATTTTTATTAACCTGTCCTAATGCAGAGCAGGATCAGTGTGCTTACTGAATGTCATTTTATACTTGGTTCCCTGGGGAGACTAAACAGTTTGCTCCAACTTAAACAGTTTCTGAACCTGTGCACATATCATTTGTAAGACAATTAGCTTGTGTTAGGCTACAAAACAAGAAATACTATTGTTCTGGTGCTCTGGTTCATTCTCTCTTTGATTTCAGCATTTTTATACGGATCAATACATATTTTCTGTTTTGAGATGTGATTCCTCTTACCTCCAGAGTGTTTTTTCTACTATGCCATCTATCTTGCTTCTAATGCTGGAATGCTTCCCAAGTGCAAAGCTTTATAGGTACCAAGTTAATATTATAAAACTAATAGGCTTCCAGTGCTTGACTTAAGGGGGACTTTGTATCACTATTCACTGTTTCTAAAGGAAGAAAAACATGGTTATATTAGAAGTTTAATTTTGGAACGGACTTTCCTCCTGTGACTCTGTGTTTGCTCTGTCATATCATGATGTTGTTAATTAGGATTTGCATAGCTTTACATTTATTGCCAATGCCAATTAAAGCCTTTTGTGCCACAGTAACACTCTTGCTCATTATTATTCCTCTAGAACTGTGCACAGTGGACTGTGGAAGTCATGGTGTGTGCTCAGGGGGTGTCTGTCAATGTGAAGATGGCTGGGGAGGAGCCAGCTGTGAAGAACGCACGTGTCACCCAAACTGTGCTGAACATGGACAGTGCAAAGATGGAAAATGTGAATGCAGCCCAGGATGGGAGGGGGAGCAGTGCACCATTGGTGAGTTTCCTACTTCTGTGTGTACCATGAAGTACTGTGTGTTATTGTCATTAAAGTATTTTCAGTGAGTACATATTTTGAGGTATTATTGTGGTGTTGACCAGAACTCAATTTTCATATTGTTCTTTCTTATTTTTGTTAAATAAAGTCATATGCAGGTTAGCACTTACTCTCAGTTAGATTACTCTTTCTCTCAGTAAGAGATCAGCCACACAGTAGTGTATTATTTGAATGAATCAGACAACTCATTCCCATGCATTGTGACAACAAAACAATTTGTACTGCCTCGGGTAGTCCAACATATTCCACTCCAGTGCAAATATCAGGTGTTAGGTTTGGTAAGTTTCTCCCTTAATAGCAAGTCACATAAATTAAGGCTAGGTACAGATATTGGGAATCCTGGGACCTCATGATCGTGCACAATTGCAGCGTGGCTCCATTGATTTCAATGGGGTTACATCCGCACGGCAATCGCTAAAAAAGGTACATTTACTTTTTTGTGACACACGATGCGTGGCTGTGGGAACCGTGCAATCTGCCTGTTGCGGCTGGGGTGCCATTAGGCTTATTGCCTAAT